TAAAATCATGGTTGCCAGTTATCTGAAGCTTTATTTAAAATCACAGGAAATGCTTTTCCGCCCTCCACAAATGTTTAAACCGTTCGCGACAGAGCAAAGCAGTATTACATGACTTTCCTAACACCGAATCTAATGCTGATGAGGTCGCACTTTTGAACCATGACGATCGGCCGTTGCGTCTGTTCTGCATACGAACCAAAATGGCGGCGCCCACAACAATGTCGGGGAACGGAGTGCCGATACTCTAAGCGCAGCTTATTTAGTGGCTCTAGTAGTGCTGATGGTGCCGTTTTCATTCATATCAGTAGGAGAATGTGGGGTTTTCTTCTTTTTATTTTTTTAAGAAGACAGATGGGATGGCAACTCAGAACCCCCTACTCTTTTTTTTTTCTTTTTCTTGATACTGATTTTGGTCATAGGTAGTGCTGATGGTGCCGTTTTCATTCATGTCAGTAGAAGTGAGTGAGAAAATGTTTTATTTTCAGGTGGGGTACCTGTTCCCCTTGAAACTCGTCATTGGCTACAGGGGGAAGGGAAGGAGGGATTGGGTTTAAATGTAATTATCAAGTCCGGCGGACTTGATGAACTCTATCAGCGAGTCTAAAATTGCTTTTCTGTGCTCGGGGGTGCCGTCTGGAAGAACCCATTCCTTTAGGCAGGATGGTCTTTCTTGTGGCGGTAGAGCATTCAAAGCTAGTTTCCGCTTGATGTCACTTTTGGGACAATCCCAGATGATGTGTTTGATGTCTGCCAATATTTGACAGTGATCGCACATGTCAGTTTCGGAATCTTCCCCGTTGTTGCTTTTTCGGAATTTATATTTCAAGGCCGGTGTCATGGCGGTTCCTGTACGCAACCTTCGTAGGCATACACGCTCCCACCGACTGTAAGATGTCGATGGAAAGGGGTGTTCGTCTGGCCTGCGTAGATCGGCGAGTCTTTGGCTTCTTTCTAGCCGTTCTTGGGCTTTGATTTCCGACGGGTCGGCGTCGTCTTCGATGTCTTCATCTACGACGGGGTGCACTGGGCCTTGGCCGGGTGGGACTGCCTGTAGCTGCTCCCGTGCGGCTGCATGTGCCTCGTCGTTTCCGTGGATACCTTGATGTCCGGGGATCCATCGTATCTTGATGGTACGGCCTTCAGCTCGAAGCTGTCGGGCCGTAGCCTTAATGCTTTTAACCGTTTTGCTGCGGCTATCATGTTTTTTTAATTCTCGTACGGCTTCTTTAGAGTCCGTGAAGACATAAATGTTGCTTTTATGGTTTTCTTGTTCTGCACTCTCGACCGCCGTCTTGATGGCTTGAAGTTCAGCCTCCTTGACGCTGGTGGTATCGCCCAGGGAGGCGGCGACTCTTCTCTGGTCGTTTGCGCAATAATGAGCCATAGCTGTGCATTTGTCCTCCTTGGCTGCGTCCGTGTAAATAATGACGTTAGTGTCATCTTCAAGAAGTAATTGTACCTCGGTGTCGTGTTTCCTGGCAGCGCTATTTCTTCTTTTAACTTGTGTTTTTCCTTGATTTTGCGGGGTCGGTCTTGTATCAATAACTATCTCGTCTTCCCATGGTGGAGGAGGTTTCGTAAAAACTTGGTAGACCTCGTTGTTGTCACCAAGAGCTCTCAGGATCTTTCTTCCTGGTTCGGTTTTTTCAAGCCTCAAGTTTTGACTGATCTTGTTTTCTTGTGCTATTTCTTCGATCGTGTTGAGTCCTCCGATCTTGTAAAGCGCTTCCACCTCGGTGCACATGGGAAGCCCAGTGATTACTCTCAAGGCTCCCTGTTAAGTGCTTCAAGTCCGTTCTTTTGGGCTCTGGTTAGACTGAGGTAGTTCACCCCGTAAGTTGCCTTTGGTACAAGGAAAGCCTTTACCATGGTCCTGAGGATGTCTTCTTTAGCTCCCCAGGCTTTGCCGGTGGTGTGTTTGATCATATTGAGTGCCTGTTTCCACTGACTTTTGATTTGCTGGTACCAGCTTCCCGCCTTTCCGTTTTCGTCAATCACGATACCGAGTATCTTAATTGAGGTTTGAGATTTAATTTGCTGGCCATTGATGAGGAGCTTGATCTTGTCTCCAACTTTTTCATCTCGCCCTCTGGCGTTGGATATGGCGACGTAATTTGTTTTTTCGGTTGAGAGTTGTAACCCCGTCTGTTTGGAGAAGTCTTGAATTGTGTCCAGAGCTTTTTGAAGCGTGATGACTTGCGTGGACGTACTGCAGTTCTTTGTCCAAATAGTAATATCGTCTGCGTAAATGGTAAATCCCAAGAAGGGAATTTTTTCTAGGGAAAGAGCAAGATCTGCCATCACCATATTAAAAAGTGTTGGCGAGATTACGGCTCCTTGTGGGACACCGACCTTGTTATCCGTCATCGGTCCTCTGGTTGGTCCTATAGCCGTTTGGTATTTTCTTTTGTCCAGAAAAGAGTGAATGAATTTCAGGAGTCTCCCTTTGATTCCTCTTTTGACTGCACCACGTATGACCGCGTCATGGGGCACAGAATCAAAAGCTTTCTTTATGTCGATCGTGACGATCAGCCGTGGATTGTAGGATGGTCGTTTGGAGGTGATGTCCTTGTGGATAAGGGCCAAACTATCCTGCGTTGGCAAACCTGGTCTGAAGCCGGTTTGTCTGGCGCAGTAAGCCTGGCTCTCAATTTCGAGGAGCCACGTGATTCTCGCCAGGACCATCCTCTCCATGGTCTTGCACAAATTGGAAGTGAGTGAGATTGGTCTTAGGTTCTGGATTGAGTCTGGATTGAGAAGAATACGTGGTTTTCTTCTGTTTCTTTTTTTAAAGGGTAACTGCAAAGAAAACAAGTTCTTTTTTTTTTAAGCAGCCTAATTGGGACAAGCATGTCAAAAAACAATTTTTCCGCGAGAAAAAAAAATGTTTTACAGAAATATTTGTTGCGTGAGACTGATTTAGTTTGCGGCTATTTCGTCCGTTTTGAATCGCGCGCCATAAAGTTGGTATTCCGTGACGTTGAATCCCAATCGGCTGCTATACTTCTCATTGGCTAAGAGTATGATTGACAGCTTAGGTCTTGGTTGTTAAACTTTTGTTATATGTTGCAATTTCCTTTTGAGCGGCATATTTTTACGTTTAAAGAATAACCCGTGTAATGAGAGTCATCATTTTTTTGCAAAAAGTTTACAAGACGGGCACTTTCGTTCGAATCTATACCATAACAAACAAAAGCTTCGCCATTCTTTTTGTGGCCGCCGAAGCAGCCGACGTCTGCTCCCAGCTGTCGCGCCCGTTCGCGCCTACTTCGTTCGTTTCGTCTAAGTGAGTAAGTGAGTGTTTCGTGTTGACCCAGGTGCTTGAGTGAGACTTCCTGAAGTGAAGTAGTGCGTGTTTAGCAGCTGTCGCAAGTGTTAGTGATAGGAAGCGACGCGGGTTGCTTTTATAGCGCAGTTTGTTACTTTCGTTTTCCTGGGTCAACTTTGCTTTCTTAGCGTGTTTTTTTTTCTTCTTTTTGCTTGCGCGTGCAAATGCCGTCTCTTTTGAGGTGTCAGCTCCTGCAAACCCGCGCCGTTGCCCTGTGAAGCGTTGCCGGAATAGTGATCGCGACAGCGAGTCTTCCAGCAGCCATGTCGCCCCGAAAGATGACAAGCTGAAAACTATTTGGCTGGAGGCAGTCGGGCGTTCGTGTAGCGACAAACGTGTCCAGGTATGTTCGCGTCGCTTCGCTCCGGAGGCCTTCGAGATTCGCACCGGGCTCATCGAACGTCCACAACTGAGACGCGGGGCGGTCCTGACGCTATTCCTACCGAGTGCAACAGCAGCAAGTGCAGCATCATCGGTAAGTCAAACTTCTGGGAATAATTGTTTACTACCTACGCTAAAGTTTCTGGTGGCGCATTGTCTCGGTTTAGAACTGTTATATTTTAACCGAAAATTGTTGTGACGCTGGTAAGCGAGTTTCAGTTCATCAGTTAATATTTTGCATCCAGCAATTACAAACATCCTACATCACTGTGGTTAGTGATTAGCACCTACGGGTACAGGCCACTTGCCTTCAGTGTTGTTTACCCACGCCACCAAGAATTGAATGAAGAAATATCAGAAATTTATAACGCATTCTCTTCTGTGCAATCCAACCAGCTGATGACCGGACCAACAAGGCCAGCACCTGTGCCTAACCCTGGCAGCCGAGTTGGAAGCCCCTCTGCAGTGAGTTTTCTGCTGCCGCTCTTTGGTCCCTAGTGTGCATGTACATTAGGTGTAAGCTGCACATTCCACTATAATGTCCTCTGCACTTAGCAACTGGCAGAACCAAGCAAAGACCAAACAGCTGCACCTGTGGATGACTATGTCAGTCAAGACGCACTTTCAAGTGCTTGAAACCATGGCATTTGTTTGTAGGCTGTCGGATGCTCTTCTGTTCAGCTGGCTATCTGTACAGTTGCTACTGCATGCAAGAGATTTAGACCATACTTAGTACTTCTTGCAATCTGTGTTGTAGGCTCACTGCTGCAGGTGCTCTGCCCCTCGTGCAACTGTTGGCACTCAAACAGAGGCGGCAGATGCGGACACTGTAGATTCTGTCATACCCGTGTGTGAGTATAATTGAATACTTAAAGTACGGTGTTTTAGGAATACATCGCAGTCTCGGCAGCATTTCATGAGAGCTTTGTACTGAGCTTAAGTTATCTGTTCTATCTCCAGCTGCACAGGTCAACCCTGGGTGCAATGCGGCTGCCCCCACACCACAACCAGGCGGAAAGTCCGCAGGAGCGCTTCCCAGTCCAGTGCAACCTGCCACAGCACTGCAAGCTCGGCTACCTTCGCCAATCCCCAGCATGACCTCCAGCCTGCGAGCCCCGGACCAGCTCAGCAGTGATGTTCACGACAGCCGTCGCAGGTCGCGCCCATACCACCTGAGGGCAACCACAGTGCAGGACAGGTAAGCCCCAGCGAACAGTTGGATAGGCCTTTAAATGCAGACGATGGTGAGCTGGAGGACACGTCGGACGACTCCTCAGACACTGACAGTGACATGGGCTTCGACGGAGAGAGTGACACGACCACCGACATGGAGGAGTCAGACATCCGTTTCGAAGCCGAGTGCGGCACTAACCCAAGTGAGCAGCTGCACATGCCTCAAAGACAATGAGATGGTTATACCAGAGGGAAACAGTCACACCGGGCAGTTCTTTCTTTGTGATAATCTGAGACGAAAGCTTGGCCCTCACTCAGCATTCAAAGATGTCTGTCAGAGGACAGCCAACTCGGAAGTGTGTCCACCCTATGCTATGCAAACTCATGACCATTTCACACGTCCTTACATTGCAGACGAAGATATGGACGAGTCTGATGATCCTGGTGAACCTGACTCCACCTACGTGCTCTCTGCAAAAGAAAGCTTCATGAGGTAACACTTTTAGGAAAGTTCAAGTGCGTGTTACAGTTGTATTTTCATTATCAGTGACCGTGAACAGGTGTCACTCCAGAAGGAGCGCAAATTTATTGTATTTGAGGGTTGCCTCCTGGAGCTCGTCCAAGTGTGTCGCACCTGCCTTGCCCCTTGCCGCAACGCCATCGTAGTCCAAGGCACTCAAGTGAGAATAACGAGCACCTGTGCACAGAACCACGTGGAGCGGTGGTGGAGCCAACCTCAGGTGAGTGGCAAAGCAGCAGGCAATATCCTGATTTGTGCGGAAATTCTGTTTTCCGGAGCCCCTGTTGCGACTACCCTGCGGTTGCTCAAGTCCATCAACGTCGCAACAGTCTCGGAGCGCACCTTCCGCTACTACCAGCAGGCTTACCTGCTGCCCGCTGTGAAGCAGGTTAGCTAGAATATTAAGGGGTTCTAAAAATAAAAAAATGGCATAGCCTAACTAACTTACAAGACATAATTGCTCTCCAGGTTTACAAGCGGCACAACTCGGAGCTCCTAGAAGGACTCCAAGGAAAGACCGTCGACCTAGCTGGAGATGGGCACTGCGACCCGCCGGCGTTCAGTGCAAAACATTGGACTTACAGCTTCCACGAGGCGAGCACCAAGAAGGTCATTCACATTGAGCAGGTGCGAGTCGGTGAGGTAAGATTTACTAACCAAAACAAAAAGCCTACTCTGCGTCACACACCCCTTTACTTAGAATAATTAAAAAACATCCTTATTGTCTAAGTGTGATATTTCTAAGAACCTTGCAATCAGACTGCAGTACGGTGACTGTTGTACTAATGAATGCATACACATTGTGATCAGTCAGATGAGGTGCCCTCCAGCAACGCCATGGAAAAGGTGGCCTTCGTCCGTGGCCTCACCAAGCTCAAGAAGGAAGAATTCACCATTGGCTCTTTCATCTCGGGTATGTGAAACTTTCAACATAAGCTATCCACCTAACTGTTTTTTCCTGGCTCTCTGTAAGGTTAACCAGCTATCTGTTATTTCGTGCTCTTTACAATACAAGCCCTTATATGCAGACCGTCACCCACTTTTGTGCGTGGCGTTTTTATATTTCAGAAGCAGTGATGGGTGCTCACGTCGCTCTTTTCTGCGCGGCCATGTCTGCGCCTCAGGCTGCAGGCATGAGGTAGGTAACGCGTACTGAAGCGATTATTTTCCTCCTGCAAGTTTGAGGTGTGCCCTCCGTGCCGAAACATTACCCCGAGGCATAAAGGAAATGCGCCCAGTGCGAGCTCAATTTTTTGCTGGTTTGTCTAACTATACTGTGTTGCTTTCTTAGCAGTGTAGGTAAGTGCTTGTCTGTTGCTTTCGTGCGTGGCGTTTTTATATTTCAGAAGCAGTGATGGGTGCTCACGTCGCTCTTTTCTGCGCGGCCAAGTCTGCGCCTCAGGCTGCAGGCATGATGTAGGTAACGCGTACTGAAGCGATTATTTTCCTCCTGCAAGTTTCGGGTGTCCCGCAACATTACTCTGAGGCATAGAGGAAATGTGTCCTCTGCGGGCACAATTTTTTGTTGCGATTTATTCAAGAACTGCATTGCTGTTTTATTGTTGCTTTCTTTGGGGTGCAGGTAAGTGTCTGTGCGCTGCTTGTCTGTGTGGTGATTTTGTATTTCAAAGGTACACGTAGGTGCTCTAGTCACCCTTCTCCACGTGACCGAGTTTCTCCTTGGGCATGAGGTAGGCAACATGTTGGGAAATGATAGTTTCTTTCCTGAAAGTTCCAGGTGCACCCTCCGTGCCGAAACATTACCCCGAGGCATAAAGAAAATCTGTCCAGTGCGGGCTCAATTTTAATTTTGTCTTGCGATTTGTCGAAATATACTGCATTCAACAGTTCTGATTGTTACTTTTGCAGTGTGGGTAACTTCCCGTCTGGTTTGTTCTTTTTTCAGAATGCTTCAAGCGCCAATTTCGTTCATTTCTTTCCTCCCTCCTCCCCCTCCCTCCCTCCCTTCCCCCCCCCCCCCCTCATGAACTGCTGTGCCGTTGATGAATGGCAAGTGTAATACAAACCACATGCCACCATATCCTGAGGTTTTCTATAACGTACACGTTTACTAAGCATCCCTGCTCCATCACTGCATGTGTAAATATAAATAAAAGTTTACTCCACTGAATTTTCCCAGCACTTCTTTATTTGCATACAACACTGCACACCAAGTCAACCTCTTGAATGCACTAAGAGATGTGCCATGGTACTGGGAAATAAGGAAGAAAAAAAAAACGAATACCACAATTCGCAAACACAACATGCAGTGCAATGCAAGATGTTTTATGTTACTGGGAAACACAGAAAAAAAAAACTACAACATGGCTTGAATGAGTACGAAACTCAAAAGTTAACAAATAGCATCAAGACACTAGCTGCGTAGTGATCGCCCTTAAAATCTAAACCTTGGGAACTACTTTTTTAACAAAAATAATTTCAGGACCAGAGCTGTCGTTCGTACACTTCTTCCACCTCGTCATTACCTCACCATTCTAACGTGATCCTTTACACATTCCGAGCGCCTTGGTGGTCTCTTACAATTATAAGCGATCCTTTATACTGTCGAGCAGCGGCCGTTGTAATTGGGGAAAGAAAACAAAAGGAGATAACCAAGATCGTCAAACGCAGCTCCTGGCCCTGGTTTCATTAATTTCGGAAGAAAAAAAGGGTGAAGTTTGTTTGACGGCCCGCATTCCGGAGGTCGCCTCGGGTGATGGTACCCGCTGTATCACAGATTACGCTGACTTTTGGTGGCATCCTAAAACCAGTCGTGCTCCAGATCGCCTACCAAATGACGGCGATGGAGCTAAACGACATGGGGCTTATCGGACAGAGGAGCACCCATTAACTGTTCACGTAACTTTGGGGATCAAGTTGTGTGCTCATAAATCCCACGGCTCACAGAGCTTCAAAGCCCTGGTATTCATCAGGTGGATACATGTTTCGAATGGCCTGTACAACACAAGCTGGCAAGACCGTCCGGTTCCTTCTGCCAAGACGGCGCCAGATCCACCAGACAAACTGCCGGTACGCCACATACCGGTACTTCCTGTTGAAAAACCAGAAGGATGACAGAGGTGACACATGAGAATACAAGAAAAACTTAAGGAAGAGACTGCTCTGAAGAGCAGGAATGTTGTGAATCTAGAACAAAACCATTAAGAGACTATATGTAATCAAATAAACCCACAGTAAAATTAACTTATCACCTCAGATAGTAACAAGATGCACATAATATGAACTAGTATTGCTGCCCTTGCCAATTGTCTATGCACCACACAACTAGGCCCCCATCGCCAGCGAGGCCATAATTACAATCGCAGCAACAAGCCAGTCATGCCCTAGCATCTGCTTAATATGTCACGCCAAATAATGTAGTAAAAATACATCAACTTCTTTTCTGGTCTACAGCATCCAACACGACGTGGTGTTAGAATTACTTATGGGTGCTCCTCTGTCCGATGAGCTCCATGTCATTTAGCTCCATAGCCCTCATCCGGTAGGCGATCTGGAGCACGGCGGGGTTTAGGATGCCACCGAAAAAGTCGGAGTGACCGGTGATGCAGCGGTTACCAGCCTTGGAGGCGACCTTCGGAACCTCCAGGCAGCAGACGCACTCGCGGGCCGTCGGCATTAGCTGGCAGCGGCCGCAGCGGCACCTGGTTGCATGTAATATAGCAAGAGTCAACAGCAGCAGTAGACTAACTTTTTTCTTTCAGTCTTGACAAATCAAGGCAGTTGGGTACCACCCGAGCCATTCAGTGGCCAATTCGTCAAAGCATGCGACGTCTCGCGCGAGAAGGTAGCAGCGACGCAGTCCCTTTCTTGAATATGGTCAGCTGGACAATTACAAATTAGAAAAACCGTGAGAGGAAAACATACACACCGCTGACTATCAACTTGCTGCCCTTAATACTTCGTCTTCCTTTTTTTTCCCCTTTACTACAAGTAGTGATGACAGCCATCCGCCATGTCCGCGCGATGCCCCCATTAGGGTGTTATGCGGCTCGTGCAACGTCCCAAGTATCGTTTTTCTTTCGGGTGGATCGTGATAGACACAGTTGAGCACTGTCTCCGATGGCCAGAGCTTCAATTAGTTCACGTGCATATGCGTTCCGGTGCCGCCCTATAATGGTGATGTTGTTAAAATTAGGAGTGCACTTGCAGGACTGGCAATGTGCAGAAAGATGTCCTGCCGATGTTCCTTTAACAGAAGCCGCGTGCTCCCTAGCTCGATCATTCACACACCGCCCCGTCTGCCCTATGTAGCGCCTGCCACAGGAAAGCGGTATGTTGTACACAACGCCGCTTTGGCACGGGGTGTATTGCGTCCTGTGAGCAATTGTGCATTGCTTCTTCTCTTGATTTGTTTTGCGATTAATTCTTCGGCACATGGAGTACGCCTTGCTTGGTGGCGAGCACACAACTCCAATATCATGCCTCCCTGCAATCTTTTTTAGGTTGTGTGTGAGACCATGGATGTAGGGTATGACCGCTACGTTTCTTCGATTTGCAGCTTGCGATGAAGCCTCATTCCCTGCATGCTCGCGTTTCAACTTCTGGCGAATGGTTTCAGAGACGGTCACCAGGAGAGACTCCGGATAACCAGACTCACGTAGACGCTTCATCTGTGTTTCAAAACTTGGTTCAAGTTGATGGTGACATGATTTCGTTAAGGTGGAAATAAGAGCAGTTGTGGCAACGCTCCTTTTGATGATTTTCGAATGCCCCGAGTTGTATGGAAGAAACCCTTGGCACGAGCGCGGCACATATCTCCAGCTCCAGTCTCGACGGCTTCCGCCGTCGAGAAAGTAGTTCGCTTGCAACGTTGCTTTTTCTTCCTCCAGGAAACGTGTCTTAAACTACTGCAATATTTATTTAATTCATTCAGGACATTTAAATAAGTTAGAATGCGTTTTTGTCAACGAAATAGCTGTTTAGTAAAGAAAGAAAGTCATGTCCAATGTACCGTCTTCCCCATTCATTTTCTGTCCAAGATACTGTCTAACATACCGTCTTCCAGCGCCTTCGATTGAGGGAAAGCGAAGCACTTATAGTTCCTGCAAATAATAAATATTTAGTGATTTACTTAGTTTTGTGGGCTTTGCGGACGAAATGTGTGCCTTTATTTTGTTGGATGAATAGAAAACAAGAATAATTATACTTTTCGGGTTTTGACAAATCGGCACCCTCCCAGGTCATCGACACCACCACCGCGCCCCGCTCTCTTTGTTTTACGTCATGGATCCCACTGAGGTGACATCGGAAAGCGATTCCACTGATTCTTCTTGGACGAAACAGCCTGGTGCAGCCTTACCGGCGACACCAAAGCGGTTCTTCAAGAAGCACAAGCGAGGTCGGGTTTTGAACAGCGGCCAGCGGGAGCTGATCCTGAACGCTTACGTTCGGACGCGACATACCGAGCCAGACTTAACAGTCAACGAGGTCTATAAAACTGTCAGCCGGTTGCTTGGTGTCGGCGTGTCGGGCGTCCACGAGATCAGGAAGAAGGCGAAGGAGAATGACGGACAGGTTGCGACACCCTCTCGAAAGCGACCTGCGAGTTCAGGCAAGCAACGGCGCAGCGTAAAGTACGGCGACTTTGTGCTGTGTGCAATGAGATCTTGTGTGCACCGTTTTTTTCGCCAGAACGAGATCCCGACCGTCGCAAAGATAATGGCTGAGTTCTGTGCAAGCCCTGAGCTCCCTTCGCTGCAGAAATGGACTGTGCTTCGCCTTCTGCACGACATTGGCTTCGAGCGAAAGAAGACTGGTCGAAACTCGCGCATGATCAAGCGAGACAAGATCATCATTCATTTATTCAACCGTTAAAGGCCCAATCGGCATTACATAAGGGGGGGGGGGCAAAGAATATAAAATCGAAAATACAGAACACCGCACGAAGCGAAAACAACAACGAAAAAACATCAATTATACATTTGTACACGCTATAAAAATAGCAGGAAAAATCCACACAGAAGCAAATGAGGTCAAAAATCACCAACATATCGTCTATGTAAGCACTCGACAAAAAAAAAATATTAAAAGAATAAAACAAAGTAAGAAATATATAATAAATATATAAAAATAAGGTAGCCATTTATGAAAACAATGTAGAAATCGCCTCACGGAACAGGCCGGTGTCACTAATGTCGATTATGGTGTTGGGAAGGTCGTTCCAATCGCGGATGCCTCGCGGGACAGCGGAGTTAATAAACGCATTAGTTTTACCGGTTAGGTTCTTGAAACTTTTGCTATTAGTGGTTCGATGGGAAGATCTGTTAGGAGGCTCAAGAAAAGGTATATTAATATCGTGATAGTAGAGCTTATGGATGAGGCACAGAGGAGCAATTTTTCGACGGTTTTCGAGTAGAGGGAGAGAACACCGACTTTTTAGAGTAGAAACAGTTATGTTATACGAATAACTCGATGTTATAAAACATGCCGGTCGATTTTGGACGGCTTCGATACGTTTGGTTAACTAGACTTGATGGGGGTTCCAGATTGGTGAAGCATAATCAAGTTTTGGGCGAACGTAAGTTTCGCAGGCTAGTTTACGGTCGTCATCATCACGTGGCAAGAGAGGTACTTGCCGAACATTGCACGTCACAGGCAAGAGGGTCGGCAGATCTTCTACCTCGACGAAACATGGGTGACGGCAGGGCACACTGTCTCGACGGTATGGGTGGACTGCACCGTGACCTCGTCCCACGACGCCTTCATGAGGGGTCTGACGACGGGCCTGAAGCAGCCGTCGGGGAAGGGCCAGCGCCTCATCGTCACGCACATCGGCTGCGAGGACGGCTTCGTCGCTGGGTGCCTGGACGTCTTCCGCGGAGTAAAGACCGGCGACTACCACGAGGAGATGAACGGCACACGATTTGAGACGTGGTTCGAAGCTGTTCTTCAGATGCTGCCGACAGGGAATGTCATCGTAATGGACCATGCTTCCTACCATTCTCGGCGGTTGGAAGCAGTGCCAACGACGGGTTCCCGGAAGGAGGTGATCCAGCAGTGGCTCACGTCAAAGGACATCTCGTGAGATGCCATGATGCAGGAGAAGCAGCTCCTTGACATCGTGGCGTCGGTCAAGCCACTCTATTTGAAGTATCGCGTCGATACTGCTGCAGAGAAGGCTGGTTGTACGGTAGTGAGACTTCCACCCTACCACTGTGAGTTCAACCCCATTGAACTCATCTGGGCACAGATCAAGAACGGCGTTGCAGCCAGGAACACAACGTTCAAGATCAGCGACGTTGAAAGGCTGCTCAAGGAAGAAGCCGAAAGGTCACGGCTGACAACTGGCGCAATGCTGTGAGGCATGTCGTTGGAGTGGAGGAAGGCTACAGACGAGGCGGTGCTACAAGTGTCCATGTAGAGCCGATCGTCATCGAACTGGGTGAAGACGACACATCTGAGAGCGACCTGTCTGGTGTGGAGCCGCTCGAGGAAGTGTGAAGCCTACACCTTCAACTTCAACAACTTCACCTTCAACAACAACAACTTCAACAACTTCAACCGAAGACTGAGGGGGACCCAGATCAACGTGACCAAAGCATGTCGACTTGTAATCGTCATCAAAGATCATGGGCTGCCCTTGCGCCCATCACTACATCTGCGCTGTACGTCTGTAAACATGTTTTAAGTGTGTTCAGTTCATACCGATCATCTTGAAATCGATCAAAATAATGGAATTCGGTTAACAACATGAAACTGAAAAGAGCTAACAGCAGTGGCATGCACAGTGACTCCACCTTGCAGAAAAAAGAAGCGAAGTACAAAACATTATCATGACTGCGAGGGTCGATTCGTTAGTTCCGTCACATTTTATTCTTCTTTTGCGAACCTTCTTCGACCTGCTATCATTATTTTTAAGCTGTTTCTCTGGCCGTGTCGTTCTCCAGTTGCTGCTGCTCCTGTACTGTTGTCTTATTATACACGTCCACTTATATTCGTATTATCTTCTCTTTTTTTTTTATGGGGGTTCAATATATAGGGGTTGACTTATTTTCGAGTAAATACGGTGCTTGACTTGCTTCTGGAACTGTTTTTGCTTGGAATGAACGGTATTCTTTGGTTTTAAGGTGCTCTGGTTTTCACAGTCGAGGGCATAGCAGCAGTGTTGTTTCTTTTTTTGGTAGTGTTGCAGTGTCTCAAGTTGGTTGGCCCCAGGGGCCCATGATTTAGGGGTGCAAGTCAGGGTTTGAAATATCTCGCACACTGACCAACGTCTCCTGCACGGTGATAACCAAAATGACACCAGGGAAAGGTTTGAGTCTCAAATATCACTGGCTTTATCAGGTCGCTATTCCGACGGAAGGTGCTATGGCAATCATGTTACCTTACGACTGATCACGACGAAAACTGAAAACGGCAGGCTTGTCATGTAAATGAATAGCGCTGACAAGCCCATTTTCGCAATGTTTATTTGTTTGCTTTTGCACCACCAATAGTGCGGACGACGTCTGGTGAAGCAACTCAGTGCCGGAAGTTTTTATGCTCATCTCACGCAAGGTACAGGGTGTCCCAGCGCGCTGTTCCGTCGTAGAATGGACCGCATAGATCGGTCGGTGAACGAAGCCTGATGAAACTTTCCACGAGGGTGTATTTGGATACACCTTCGTGGACATTTATCATACGAAAATATTCATGCCTAGGTTTCCTAAACGAAAAACGAGAAAAGAAAAGCCGTAAATCTCTATGGGCAGACAGACTGGGACGCGGACCGCGTCCCAGTCTGCATGGATTTACGGCATTTCTTTTCTCGCTTTCGTTTAGGAAACCTAGGCTCATTAAAATTAGTATGATAAACGCACCGTCTAAATACACCTCCGTGGAAAGTTTTATCGCGCTCCGTTCAGCGACTGGTTTATGCGGTCCATTCTACGACGGAACAGCGCGCTGGGACTCCCGGTATACAGATCTCACCTGCGACTGATAAGCACGGCAATCTCAGCTCACCCCGCGGAAACCACAGCGAATTGAAGCAGCGGTGCCGCTACTATGTTGAGTAGCAACGTGGGGCAGAGGCGACAGAAATCCAACGAAGCAGACGACGTCCGGCGTACCTCTCAGCAGTGCTAAGCCTCGCGCCCGCTTCGAAATTTTCGTTCGCGATAGCGTCGCTGGATTCTCACGTTGTCGCGCAATAACGGCTGCAAACGCAAGCCGATACCATTAAGATTTCATGGCGTAACCTCGGGCACGTAAAACACGGTGCAAAAAAGCAGAATAATTGTCACGAGAAACTAGCGTCGCGTTGCTAAGGCCAGCAGCCATGTTGAGCTTTTTTTTTTTCAAAGGGATCGCGATTGGTCCACGGAGTCGTGACGCCATGAAAACGATTGACTGGCGTTTCTCGGCGTAGGGTTACGCTTCCCTCTGAGAGGAATTTCCGGTTTTTTCTTAGCTTGCAACCGCTGTAGTAAAGGGAAAAAAAGGAAGACGAAGTATTAAAGGCAGCAAGTGTATAGTCAGCGGTGTGTATGTTTTCCTCTCACGGTTTTTCTAATTTGTAATTGTTCAGCTGACCATATTCAAGTATGTACCAACTAGCTCAAGTAAAACCTGTAGTGCAGTCCATTTCATTGCATTTATTTATTTAATCACTTTCCCACAGCGCCAGGATTGCATTACAGTGGTGGAGAATGTACTTCAATGTGATACATTTAAACAATACAAAGGAGCATAACAGAACGCGCACATGCATAACGGCCAACGATGAACAGCTGGAGTTCAATTACCAGCGGGTGTCGTCCACGCGCGCCGAAGGCTCGGGAGGTTCGGGCGGTGCGCCGTCTTCGTTGTCGGCAACCGTCCTCCGCGGCGTGTCTTCGAATGGCCGAAGACCCAGCTGCTCGCTGCGGCCGAGAAGCCGAAGCTTCAACTCGGGGTCCATTTTGCGCGAGGACAAAGAATTTTTTTTTTATTTAGAACAGAAGCTACGAAAGGCTTTAGACAGTGGTACGCACACAAGATGCACCGGAAATCGAGACGCTGCGTACGTTCAACTCCGCAGCCAAGCCAATCCAACAGCAAATCCAAGAGTGAGGGGCGGGCGATCTTCTTTTCCGCGGGCGGCGAAAGAGCGGGAGTTTTGAAATGTGGAGAGGTTGTGACTGACTAAATTACGTCCTGTGACGCAAAGATTGTAAAAAATTTTTTTTTTCTTTGCGGGATATTTGTTTTTTGACATGCTTGTCCCAACTAGGCTGTTTAAAAAAAAAAAAAAGTTTTATCTTTGCAGTTCAGAGCCCCCTATTGTTTTTCTTCTTTTTCTTTTTTTTTTTCATCGTTTTTTTTTGCTCTTGCTGCTGAACTCACGAGTAGGAGCTCGTAAGCTCCTGCTCGTGAGCTCACAAGCAGGGGCACGCCGGACGGCGGACGGACATACGGACATGGTTAGCCCCTAAGGAGCTTCGCCCCTAAAAGCGAGGAATTGCTCGCTGACGCTCTCTTTGGTAACTACCGATATGCCAGGCGTATCGATTACGGAGAGGAATAAATGCATCACCCTGTCTGAGCAGGGCCTATCGCAAAGAGCTATAGACAGGTTAAGCGGCCACCTGGTATCGACCGGGCGACAGTGCGGCGAGAACGACACAAAAGCAGCCCGAGTGACGGCGCTTACAGCGCGCCATCGGCGAAACGCGGAAGTCCCAGACGCGCCACGCGAGGTGCGAGCACCACTTAGTGGGACCCGCACCCACGCACCAGGTCACATTTTCATTAGTTCTCGGGGGCCCTCCAGGTGGAGCAGCCTGTGTCGATGGCCACGCGTTCCGGCGTCCGGGTTTCATTCCGTGCTGACTGTACATCTAGGTACATCGCAAGGCGTGGGACGAAGTTTTACCCTACGTAATGTTTACCTACGACATGGCAGTTCAAGATACCATTGAAGTTGCGCCTTTCCAGCTGGTGCATGGTCGGAAAGCAACGACCATGCTGGACGGGATTCTGCCCCACGAACCGGCTGATGGCTGGAGCGACGACGCCAAGCGGGTTGCTTAAAGGGATACTGAAGCTAGAGTCACTAAATGAGCTGCGCTTAGAGTATCGGCACTCCGTTCCCCGGCATTGTTGTGGGCGCCGCCATTTTGGCTCGTATGCAGAGCAGACGCAACTGCCGATCGTCATGATTCAAAAGTTCGACTTCCTCAGATTTAGATTCGTTGTTAAGAAGGTCACGCAATAGTGCTTTGCTCTGTCACGAACTGTTTAAACATTTGTGGAGGGCGGAAAGGCGTTTCCTGTGATTTCAGATAAAGCTTCAGATAACTGGCAACCATGATTTTAAGACACAATATGGCCAAGTGTCGTTACTATGAAGCGTAGCTTATTTAGTGGCACTAACTGAAGCGAAACTTGAAATGCACCTATTATGGTCAGAAATAGGTTCAATATGATCAATGATATTCATAAATCATAATCGCGCGTTTGTATTTTGAACGGATGGCTATATTTTTCACCCTAATGGGCCCGATTGGGCGCGCGCTCAAAAATCGGCCGTCGGAGGGCGCGATGCGTCTTGGGATATTGGGCGCATTCGTGACGTCACTTGTGCCAGACGGGAAAGGCTACGGCGTGAATGTTGCGGTTACGAGCGTTGCCACTTGGTGGCGCGTCGACGATTTACGACCTGTGACAACGTGGCCGTTTGAGATGTGCAAGGGCTGCACGCACGCTGCACCACGGCAAGTCGGCAACCACGGCAGCACTGACAAAACCAGCTCTGAGGCCGGATTCTCAAAGCGAACTCACGACGAAAAAAGTGCGTACGACAAATTTGAGAGAAAACCCGTACTCTCGAAACAAAATTGTCGTAACCTTTGCGCAGGTTACGACAGAATCCTACGACAGCTCCGAAGCTGTCTTACGCACTTTTTACGATCAAATCAACAAGGCCGACAGCGTTGCTCAGTTACTTGGTATCGGCCACCAACGGACATTTATTTTTCTTCGTGCTCTTCTCATGCGTCCCGACTTCAACCAGCAAGAAAAAAGGAAGGAGTACTTAAAACAGACCACGACGATCAAGAACGC